AAAGAATTTTCACAAAGGAAAACATTCAAATGTCCAACAGAAACATGAAGAGATGCTCCAAATCACTGGCAATATGAGAAATACAAATTAAAACCACAATGAGATATCATCTCACTCCAGTAGCAGTGGCAAAGTTTAACAGGACAGCAAGTAATAAATGTTGGAGAGGGTGTGGAGATATAGGAACTCTTATACATTGTTGGTGGGACTGTAAATTGATACAACCACTCTTGAAGGCAGTTTGGCACTTCCTCAAAAAGCTGAACATAGAAATTCTATTTGACCCAGCTATTCCATTGCTTGGAATATACCCCAAGAAAATGAGAACTGAGGCTCAAATGAAGACTTGTATACAAATGTTCATAACAGTGTTATTCACTATCACAAGAACGTGGAAAAAGCCCAGATGTCCTACCATAAACGAATGGATTGAGAACTTGTGGTACATTCATATAATGGAATACTATGCAGCATTCAGGAGCAATATTTTGTAAATTACTACTTGACTTGGGTCCATACATATTCAATCTATATGCTTAGCTAATTATTCAAGAAGCTGGACTCTATGAAGAGTAATGTGGCATCAGGATTGGAGGGAGACTCATCAATAATCTGCAGTATGCAGATGACACAACCTTACTTGCTGAAAGTAAGGAGGACTTGAAGCATTTGTTGCAGAAAATCAAGGGATGTAACCTTCAGTGTGGATTGCATCTCAATGTCAAGAAAGCAGATTCTTAACGTTGGACCAATAGGCAGTGTCATTATGGATGGAGAGGAGATTGAAACTGTCAACAGCTTCATCTTTCTTTGACCCACAATTAACACCCTTGGTAACAACAGTCAGGAAATAAGGAGATGCACTGCACTGGAAAAATCTGCAGTTAGCGAAGCTTTGCAAATTATTGAGGAGTAGTGATATCAGTTTGAGGACTAAGGTGCATCTGATTCAGGCCATAGTCTTTTGAATAAGGATGACAGAAAAAGAATTGATGCCTTTGAGCTGTGGTGTTGGAGAAGAGCACTGAACATCCTACGGACAGCCAAGAGAACAAACAGATACATTTTGGACATGGTGCAGCTGGAGGGCACTTTGGAGGCGAGAATAATAAGGCTTCACCTCACATACATTGGACATGTTGCTAGGAGTGGGCCATTCCTTGGAGAAGGACTTGATGTTTTGGAAAGGGTGGAGGATCAGTGAAGGAGAGGAGGACCCTCAGCCAGGTGGATTGACACAGTGACTGCTGAAATGGGCTCTTGTGTGTCAAGAAGTGTGAGGATGGTGCAGGATAGAACAGGGTTCAGACCTTTGTTCATAGGATCACTACGAGTTGTGCTCAACTTGATGGCACGTAACAACAACCACCTAACTTGGGAGGGACTGGAAAGCATTATGCGGAGTGAACTAACTCAGTCCCATAAGGACAAATACTGTGCAAAACCATTATTGTAGAATGAGAATGAGGATCCAAGGGGGAGTGGGGATAGGGTTAGGATGGGCCGGGTGGGAGGCAGTGTTAAACATAGGGTAGCATAATTTTATGGGGGGTGTGTGTGAAGGAAATGGAAAAGATCTTGTGTGAAAAACAATGTATTTGAACTTTGTAAATAAATCAGTATTTTTAAAAAGAAATCAAACAATGTATTTATTGCCTTAGATAAATCTGTTTTCACATACCTCTTTAATGTACTAAAAAGCAAAGGTGTCAGTTTAAAGATTAAGTACCTTTAACAAACGGAGATTTGTACACCTATGTTCATAGCAGCCTTATTCACAATGGAAATGATATATTAAAAGCCCAAATGCCCATCAACAAATGGATGCATTGAGAGATTATTGTGCATTTACACAATAGAATACTATGCAGCACTCAGGAGCAATCACTCCATAAAATACTATATAAAATGGGAAAGGCTAGAGAAGATGATACTCTAAAGCATCAATTCTTTTTCTAACACCCTTAATTTTTTAAATTTTTTTTTCCAGCTCTCAGATGTCTAGTAAGTGATTGAAAAGACCATGGCCTGAATCAGATGCACCTTAGTCCTCAAACTGACATCATCAATCTTCAGTAATTTGGAGAGGTTGCTGACCACAGACTTTCCCAGTGAGATACACCTTGTTTTAAAGCCTAAGGTTTCCTTAAAGACTGAGGTGGCCTGACTCAAGGTATTTTCATTTGCTTCATATACATATGAATGTTGGACAACAAAAAAAAGGAAGAAGTGATGCCATTGACTGGCAATGTTGATGAAGAATACTGAATATATTGTGAACTTCCAGATAAACAAATCTGTCTTAGGAAAAGTGCAGAGTGTTTTTTAGAATTAAGGACGATTTTTCTCACACACTTTGAGTATGTTGTGAGAAGGGAGCAATACTTGCTCAAGGACATCATGCAAGGAAAAGCAGACGGTCAGTGGAAGAACAGAACACCCTGAAGGAGACGGATTGGCACAGTGACTGCCAATTGTGGGATGAAACACAACAGAGGCTGTGAGGTTGAGGTAGCGTTTCATTCTGATCTACAAATGTTCGCTGTAAGCCGGAGCTGACTTGATGACATCTAACAACCACACACGCCAAGCCCTGCTTTCTGCTGTTTACATTAACTCGTTGCATCTTTATAACAATTGTATAAAACAACATTGCCAATCTCATTTTATTGATTAGAAAACTCAGACACAAAGAAGGTAAAAGACTTGTCCAAGATCACAAAGCTAATTTAGCCTTTGAAACTGGGATTTGAGTATAAGCAGTCTGGCTCCAGTGCCTATGTATGTAACTACATACCTAACCTAACAGTCTCGTTCCCAAGGAGTCTTCATTCATAGAACTAATGACTTTGAACACAATAAATGCAATATGAAGAATATGTTTTTTCTCAATAGCCAGCAGGCACATTCCTCTGTAGGGGACCAGAGCCCGTGGGCAGACAGCTGCTCTATAAAACTGTGAAGAGCTGTGCAGAATGGAAGCGTGCTTCAGGGTCCGCCTGTTGGGTGGGCACCCATTTCACGAGGAGAAAGAAAGCTGCTCTGCCAACACAGGAGCCAGAGCAAGAAGGCCAAGAGCTGTGGCTGGGGTTCGCAGGGAGGGAAAGAGAAGAGAGAAGAGAGACTGGGGTTGGAAGCTGAACAGCGAGTATTTGGAGAGAGAGATTATCTAAACTTCACTTTGCTGAAAACATCCTTGGCTAGTAACCAAATGGATGAAGGTTTGTATCCACCCAGAAGCGAAGCTCTGGTGGCCTAATGGTAAGAAGTTAGATTGTCACCCCAAAGGCATGTGGTTTGATGCCACCAGATACTCTGAAGCAGAAAGGTGGGCAATCTACTCTGATGTGATTTACAGCCTCGGAAACCTGCTGAAGGGTCAGCTATGAGTGGGTTCCGACTTGAGAGCACATAACAGCAATAACATCCACCTAAAGATACATCAGAAAAAGGTCTGGCAATCTACTTCTGAAAAGTCAGTAGAATTATGGCACACACAAAGAACAGCCTAACACAGACAAGGTCATCATGAGTGCGTTTTGTACTTGGAGGTGTAGGAGAGCAAATCAGAGGACAGAATCAAGAGCCCACAATGGTGTCACATAGATTTAAAACAGAAGTGAGACAGAAGAAAACTCAAGGTGGGAGGTGCAAACAATCAGAACCCTGGAGTTTAGATACTTATCTGGCTGTACTTGTGAACACGCGGCTTGAATTTCTGCCTCTAAAAGAATATTTTTTAAAAGTTATAAAGCACATATTTGGGGCCTAGACAAGTTCTACATGTTCTAAAAAATAAAGTTAGCTGGTCAAATTACATGCAAGATGTTCCCCATCCTCACTCCTCATTTCATGCCAAAGTTGGGGCCAGAGAGAAAATTAACAAGTGCTTTGTTCACACCAAGTTAACAGACTCCCACTAGTCTGTGAGATTCTTCCTCTCAAGAAACGAACAGTAGCTCACTGAGAGTCACACAAAAAGCCAGGAATAAGTTCATCAGAATCCAGTAACACTTCTCCTTCCTTTTTAGAAAGGTCTCAAATTAGCCTAGAAAGCAAAACTCACAGTTGGGTCTCTGTATGTCTGAGAGAGAGCCACTCCAGGTGTGATTAGAAAGGTGGTATGAGTGTGCCAGATTGCAAATTTCAAGTGTAGAGCTTAAATATATTTGAACGGTCGGAGATTAAAAACACTAAAACCCAACAAATTGGTAGTTCTATAGCCCTAGTTGATGAGTCATTTTCCAGTGTTGGAGATACACAGGAGAGCATGTGGAGGTGAGGGTGATTGAGAATGGCATCCTGGAAAGTTCTAGTGAGAAATACAAAGGAGGAAGAGGAAGCAGGAGTGAACCAGGAATAGGAGCCCTGTGATTCCTCCCTCCCAGTGCCACTGTGATGCAATTCAGTCACAACCCTGTATAAAAGGTGCCGTGATATTGCAGATGGAAAGGTTGGTGGTTCAAATCCACTCATTGGTGCTGCCAAAGAAATACCTGGCATTCCACATTCATAAGATCACAGTCATTGCAAACCCTGTGGAGTGTAGTTTTCCTCTGATATTCTCAGGATCACCCAGAGTGGGAAATAATTCAACAGTGATAAGTTCACTTTTCTTGTTTCTGCTCTGTCAGGGAAAAAAAACTCAAATTCATTTGTCATCAAGTCAGAACTAACTCATAGCTGACCGTTCATTCAGGTTTTGGAGGTAGTAAATCATACAGGAGACTGACCATTTTTCTCCTATAGAACCGCTAGTGGATTTGAACCTCCAAAGAGGCAGGGGCTTTGAGTTACCAGCGCAACTCTCAACAGACTATAGTGCTTACAGTTTAGACTGTGGCCCAATGGGTGCCCCAGTTATGATTTCAAAGGGAAAAGAAGTTGAAACAGAGATGCAGTCCATAAAAACAATTTTTCCCCCACAGTTTTCTTTTCAAGGCATGCTACATCTCGAGAAGAAAGTAAACTATTCAAGAGAGGAAAAAAATCTTAAATACCTGTGCAAATACGATCCAGGGTAGCGATGGCACTTAGTGTCAGAATCACTCTGTTGGATGTCTCATAATTCCAGATCGGGTTTAGAGAAGTGCACCAGATGCGGAGAATGAGGAGAAGAAACTGCCCTAAAATGAATCCCCAGATCCTGAGGTACCTGTAAGTGTGAAAGCATGTTTAGAAATTGCTCATGTGCCAAGAGTCCAGAATGAGAGCTGCATGGGGAACTGAACTGAGGGGGGATTGTATAATAACAAAAGTTCGGGATTTTTTTTTACTTTTCAAAGAGAAAAATCAACTAGGGGGGAGGAGTGGGCAGGGAAGAAAATGTGCAACAATGATTGAATAGAAGGGGAAAAAAAGAAATCGCTCATGTGTAGCACTGTGCTATGTTCTTCATTAGTTCTATTTCATGAAATGAGAATCTGATAGACTGTTCTTGATAAGACGTAGTAATGCATACAATTTAACCTTTGTATCTTCTATTTCACAATTGTATTTGGTGATTTGTTTTTAATGCTTTAACTTGAGACTTTTTTGAGATTAATGGCAGTAAGTCACATTCTGGTTTTGTGGAAAGGGAAGAGAGGAGGGGAGAGGAGAAAGACACAGAGAGAGAATGTGTGTGTATGTTTTAGCTCTCAAGAACACATTCCCAATAAAGCAAATCCAATGCCACGGAGTCTATTCTGACTCAAAATAACCCCACAGGACTGAGAAGAACTACCCCCAAAAGGTTTCCAAACTATACTCTGTATAGAAGCAATCAGTTACATCTTTCTCTTACAGAGTGGTAGGTGGGTTGAAACTGCCAATCCTTCCATTAGTAGCCAAGCACTCAACTACTTTCATAGGGCCTTCCAAAGCCCCTCAAGGGCTCCTTTGGAAGGTCCTATGAAAAGTAGGTAAGAAAACTAAGAACTATATAGTTGGACTTTCTGATGTTCACAGTCTCTATGGTAACAGATCAGACCTGTCTGTCCACAAGAGCATAAGCCCCAACCGTACCTTTGTAGGCCACTTCCTGACCACCAAGTCACGGATTGCACTAGAAGCGAGGAAAAGACACCAAGGGAGAGGACCATCAGTCGGAGTCTGGCATTTGGAGCCTGGAAGGAGGCTATGCTGCCTGCAAACAGACGGGTGGATTGCTAAACATTTCTGAAAATTACACATTGTACTTGATGATGTGCACCTGTGATGCTCAGGAACACACACACACACACACACACACACACACACACACACAATCCTAGTATAGTTAGGCTAACCAAAAGGTCAGTAGTTCAAATCCACCGGCTATTCCATTTAAGAACATAAACAGTTTTCTACCATAAAGATCCATAGACTTAAAAATGCAATGAAGGATCATCGTTAAGTCAGAATCTGCTTGACAGCAGAGGGTTTGAGTTTATTTTTCTATATACATATCTATATAGAAAGATATCTATGTCTGCGTCATCTATCTATCTATCTATCTATCTATCTATCTATCTATCTATCTATCTTTGTTGTGTACCTTAGAATTGGAGCCGACCCATAACTGACCCTCCGGTGGGTTGTTACTAACGTGGGAGGAGACTGCCCATCCTTCTCCCGCAGGGCAACAGGCAGTGCCTCAAGCTGCATGCCTTCAGGATTGCAATGCAGCCTCTTTTCATGTGGCCACCAGAGCTCCCCAATCCATTGCTGTCAAGTAGATTGTCTTTGACTTGTGGTATCAGAGAAGAGTACTGAGTATCTCATGAACTTCCAGAAGAACAGATAGCTATGTCTTGGAGAAAGTGCAGCCAGAGTGTTCCTTTGAGGCAAGGATGGTAAGGCTTTCTTTCAGATAGTTGGGGGACGTTGTTAGAAGGGGCTATTCCTTGGAAAGTGACAACTTGCTTGGAAATGTAGAGAGTCAGTGATAAAGAGGAAGACCTTCAATGAGATAGATTGATGTTGTGACTGCAGCAATGGGCTCAAGTGTGACGGAGATGATGAGGATGGCACAAGAGAGAACAAAATTCAGGTCTGTTGTTCACAGGGACACTGAGTCATACTTGACTCAAAAGCCCCTAACAACACATCTCTCCCTCTACGTACCTACATACTACAGAGATAGAAATAGGATATGTGTGCATGTGTGTTGTCAGGTTGATTCTGACTCACCCAATGTGACAGAGGAGAGTATTCCAAAAGGTTTCCCAGGCTGTAATAATTATAGGCGCAGACGGCCATGTCTTTTTCTGCCATAAATTAATATATATAGGAGCAATTAGTGGGTTCAAACTACTGACTTTTCAGTTAGCAGCTAAGAACTTAAACCACTGATCCAACAAACTCCTGTATCAATTTCTCTTAAAAATTATTTTGTGATTGTTTCATACACTACATAATTTATTTTTTATTGTTCAATATGCTACAAAATTCAGAGAGCTCTGCCATATTTGCCATTTTCTAATTCCAGAACATTTTCAGCATCCCAAAAGGAAATCCTGTCTCAGTAGCAATCACTTCCCATTGTTCCTTGTACCCATTCCCGGCCCTAGCTAGCAATCATGAACTTAGTTTTAGCTTCTAAAGAGTAAACGATTTGGGGCATTTCATGCAAATGGAATTATACAATATGTGGCATTTTGTGTTTAGGTTTTTTTCACTTAGTATATTTTTTTTCTCTCTCAAGTTTATTCATGGCATATTCATTACTTTGTATCACTGAATAATATTCTATAGCATGGAAAAATCAGACTTTGTTATTCATGAATCACTATGTCTATACATCAATCAGCTCATAGTCATTTCACTACTGTTGTTCAGTGCCACTGAGTCAACAGCTCATACATAGCAACCCTACAAACAAGCATTCTGGACACTGTCCAATTCCATGCCATCTTCACAATCTCTAACACACTCAAGCCAATTGCCACAGTCACTGTGTCAATCTACCTGACTAAGAGTTTTCCATTCCTTCACCACTCTCTACCTTCCCAAGCAGGATGTCTCTTTTCAAGGAATAACCTCTCCTAGCAACACGTCCAAATTGTGTGAGATCACGCCTCATCATTTTTGCCTCTAAAGAACACTTAGGCCGCAACTTCTCCAAGACATTTCTGTTTGTCCATTTGGCAGCCCATGGGATGGATCTTCAGCACTCTTCAACAACACCATAGTCCAAAGGCTGCTTCTTCTGTCATCCTTATTCACAGTCTAGCTCTCAGCAGCACAGCAAGTGATTGGAATGATCATGGCCTGATTCAGGCACACCTTTGTCCTCAAACCAAAAGAATTCCTCCTCAAGAATTTGGAGAAGCCCTGACCATGGACTTTCCCAGTGCAATACATCTCCTGATCTCCTGACTGCTGATATCAAGTGTATTGACTGTGGATCTAAGTTAAGATTAAATCGTTTATAGTCTTGATTCTTTCTCTATCACGATGTTGTCTATCACTCCAATGATGAGGGGTTTGTTTTCTTGACACTGAGATGCAATCTATTTTGAAGGCATCCGTGTTGTACTTGCTATTGTATGCTGAGCAAATTATTCGAGAAGCTGAACTCTGTGAAGGAAAACATGGCTTCAGGACTGGGGCTGTGGTTGTTGTTGATTGCCATTGAGTCAAGCATGACTCATAGTGACCCTATCAACAAAAGACCTGAAGCCTTTCTAAAACTATTGTCATTTCTCCAAGTTCATAGGGTTCACAGAGACATGTTGTTTAGGAATTAGATGCCACTCCCGCTTCCAGGATTGGGGTAAGATTCCTCAATAATCTTCATTATCTGGATGACACAACCTAGCTTGCTGAAAGTGAAGAGAACTTGATAGTTTTTCTATTAATAATCTCACTGTTAGGTTATTATATGTAAAGTTGGCATAGACATTTGTGTAAAGTAGGTTTTCCCCACAATCTATTTTAAATTCTTTTTTTTTTTTATTAATCTGCTTTCAACTCTCTTAGGAATATATACCTAGAAGAAGTGCTAGTCATAGGGTAGCTCTATCTTCAACTTTTTAGAAGAGTGTTAACTAAAGAACTGCCAAACTTTTCCAAAGCAGCTGCACAATTATACATTTTCTCCAGCATAACACGGAGGGTTCCAACATCCACATCACTGGCAACACTTGTGATTGCCTGCCTGACAATGACTAAAGATGACAGAAGGAGGGTAGACGCTGTTGAGCGGTGGTACTGGAGAAGTGTGTTGAACATATTATGGACTGCCAAAAGAACAAACAGTTTTGTCCTGGAGAGGCTGAAACCTCTCCAAATTTCTCCTTGGAGGCAAGAATTTTGAAGCTCCATCTCGCATACTTTGGGCATGTTACCAGGAAGGAACAGTCCTTTGAGAAGGACACCATTATGGAAAGGTGGAGGGTCAGCACAGGAGAGGAAGGCCCTGAAGGAGATGGACTGACACAGTATCGGGGGTAATAGGGATAGGTGTGTTAGAGACAGTGAGACTGGCTCAGGATAGGACAGAGTTCAGAGCTGCTGGGGTCATTATGACTTGCAGGTGACTTGACAGCACATAAAATTAGTTTGGAAGATACGCAACCAGATTTCTCCTTAAAGGCAAAGGTGGATAAACTCCTTCTCTATTCTTTGGGCATGCTGACAGGAGGGGTCAGTCCTTGGAAAAAGAATTCAGGCTGAGAAAGGTAGAGTCATCCAAAGAGAAGACCCTTAATGAGATAGACTGACACAGTGATGGCAGCAATGGCTGGAGGAACTGAGGATGGTGGAGCTGATGGGATCGTGATAGGGCAAGGTTCACAGAATCACAATGAGTTGTAGTTGGCTCAATGGCATTTGACAACAACAAAGAAGGTCAAAATCTTTAAGGGGATAAAAACTGTAAATCAGTAAAAGTGTGATCTATCTTTACAGTTAATTGCTTGTTAATTGCTGTTAAACTGATTCTGATTCATAGTGACCTCAAGTTTGTCAGAGCAGAACTATGTTCTACAGGATTTCATCCTCTTTCATGTTTTTTTGGTTTACTAGGGAAGTTGACGTATTATAATTCAAGTTGGCAACAGAATGCAATACTTTAGTCAAGGTAGCTTCTCAAGTGTGCTCACAGGGCCTCTGACCTTCAGCCTTGTAGCTTTAAGTCAGCATTCCAAAGCTCTCTTAGTCCTAACAATTAGGACATCTCTCCTCTACCCACAATCTCCAGCAAGCATGGCCAAAAGGTCCCTGGCTCGGGCTCCTAGGGGCAGAAGTCTGATGACAGTTCCATCTCACACTGGCCTCTGGTTATCCGGTGCCACTGTTGCTACAGCTCTCATCCACATCTCAGTCTGACTGGCTGGTGCAGGAATATCTGGCTTCAAAGGACATGTACTACATTCTCTGCTTCTTCTTTCCCACTGGAAGCAAAATTCCCCTCTGAAGGGTTTTTTAATAGCTGTGGTGTTGGTTGGGTTGTGTTTTTTTTTTTGTTCATTCATTCATTCATTAAGTAGATTGCCAGACCTGTCTTCAAAGACACCTCTAGGTAGACTTGAACCTCCAATGTTTTGGTTAGCAGCCATGTACATTAACTGTTTCCACTCTCCAGGGATTTTGATTACATAAGTAATTAATATAAGAGATATGTAAGTAATTAATATATGTAGTGGCAGAAGTGAGATAGAATGCAACACATATGCTTCTCTAAGACTAAATGAGGATACCTTATTGCCATTGCTCCTGCTGCTGTAAAGTACCAGTGGGCTGACTTATTGTACCTCTTTGTATGACAATGCACTGGTATTTGTTGTACAAAAATGCCTGGTGCTGTCGTCACAATTTCTGCTGTGCTTGAGCCTCTGTTGCCTCCATGTGTCAATCACTGATGTGGAGGGGCTCACTCTTTTTTGCTGATCCTCTGCTTAACCAAGCGTCATGTCCTTCTCTAGGAACTTGACCTTCCTGATACCATGTCCAAAGTACATGAGATTAAGTTTCCCGAGTCCTGCTTCTAAGGAGCACTCTGGCTGCACTACTCCCACGACAGGTCTTTTGGCAGTCAATAATCTTCATGAGCGTCACGATTCAAAGATACCAATTCTTCCAACTTTCACATGCCATGAGGCGATAATACCAAGGCTTGGATCAGGCACTCCACCATAATCCTCAAAGTGATATTCTTGCTCT